GACAGCGTATGCGTGACTAGCGATGGGACTGATACGTACAACATTCGAAACATAAGAAAAAAGAGAAGGGGCACCTACATTGAAAATGCAAATGATACTCTTCTGATGCCTGCTGTTTTCCATTATATGGTAACTATATAATTATACAATGATTTGGGGCTTGTCGCTGCAATGGTAATGCATTTTTAAACGAGTCAGCATAGCAAAAGAAACAGGGACACGCCTTGAGAATCTATAAAATTATTCCAGAAGAGTGGTCGCGTGCAGACCCTTTGTTCGCATACTCTACGAACTTCGTAATCAATTCCACCCTCGCGAAAATAATCGAGGATCGAGAAAGGTCGATAACGCGTGCGAGGGCGTCATTCCCATCGCTAGTCCGCGCTTCGAAGCTCATGGCCCGTTGATAAAGACGGGGAACGCCGCACCGGCGAGAGGATAGACAGAGGATAGCGGTTCCGCGGGACGAAGAGGGAAGCACAGGAGGTTCGACGAGAGAGAAAGGGGGAGAGAGTGAGAGAAGTGGACGCCAGAGGAGGACGGTCGTGCGGAGAAAGAGACGGGCGAGAGTGTAGACCAGGGAGAGCGAATAGCGAGAGAGGAAAACGGGGGAACCAGGGGAAGCGGAGTGACGGAGCAAGAAAATATGACCTGAGGAAAACAGCGAGCGTAGGGGGAAAAAGAGAGGAGAGATCGAGAAAGGGCAAGAGCGAAGGACGTAGGAATAAGAAGGATAGATTTCCCGGCGAGCGAGAGGACAGAGCTGGAACGGAATTCTAAGAGACTCGAGCGACGAGGATGGTAGCCACGATGGAGAACAGGAGATAGAATTCGAGATTCGAAGAGATGCGAGGGGCCCGAATAGAGAGGGATGCAGCGATCCCTGCTGCGAAAGGGAGCGAGACGAGGGCCTCTGCGACCAGACGAGACGAGCGTGTGAGGGTCCACGACACAGGGAATTAAGAAGAGAAGAGAGAGAGGCTAAACAGGGGGATGTGTAGCGAAGGACGAGAGAAGCGGACTGTTTGTTGGACTGGAAGAATAAAAGGGAAGAAAAAAATGGCAGAATGGCAGAAAAATTCGCTGATAAGAGAGAACGAAGTCGGAATAAAAAGGCCACTCGTGTAATTCAATTAACCGATTAGCTATCCGTTGCTCATAACTGTTTCGAACAAACTCATTAGATTGGAACGGACGAAAGGTTGTCATTGTCGATCGTTACTTCAAAGGGACGTAACTTTAATTCGAGGACTTTGGGCTGGGTTTATCCGGTGTATTCCTTTGTCGGTGGAAGTCACGTTGAAAGACTCGCGGGTATTATTACTTTTTCGAGAACAACGGTCACGAATAAAACCGCGAACGCGTATTCGCGACGGTGTTTGCACACTGGCGGCGTGACTGGCTCCGTTGTCCTGTTCTAAATGCGACGAAGAAAAGATCGAGAGGTCGACGAGGTGTCGGAGAACGGAGCAGCCGTGTGTTTTTCGCGTTTTCGTCCCGGGGATTGGTTCCCGAACGCCGACAAAACTCCCGCGGGAATGGAAAAATCGAAAGGAGGAGGAGAGATGGGCGCGGGAACGAGCGACAGTGAACTAGACAAGAGATTCCGAGAGTGAAACGCGCGCTCGGGGTTCCGGTGGTAAATAGTACGTAAAAGTGCGACGGAGAAAGGCGGCGAACGGAGGAAGAGGGAAGCACGATAGCGTTGGCGAAACGGTACGGGGAAAATAAAAGAAGAGAGTAGATAGGGAAGAGGAGAGAGAGAGAAAGAAAGGGAAGGGTTTGCAGTACTCGATAGAAGCGTGGACGTGTGCGAGCATCGTCGAAGCCTTGGTGCACCACCGAGCGGAGGAGCCACCTGCAAGGACAATGTAATCGACGTAGCGTGATCCGCAGGAACTTGGCCTCGCGATCCTATCGCGTGTGGATCCCTCGATCGGAGCTTCACGCTATTCCGACGCGTCCGGAAAAACGACGAGGAACTGTCGCACCATTCCTCGCTTTTACCTTTTTTAGAGACTATCGTACCGAAGCTTGATGTCGTATTATATATGTGTGTTGAAATTTTTTTTCGATTGTTGGAAACGCAATGCATTATTCGACAATTTGTTCCGCGTGTAAAAGTGACACTTTGATGCGTATGAAATAGGGATATTCGATTCCGATTCGGTTCTTCGAAAGATCGATTCTTCTTGGATAATACGTCACTGTCGTATGCTTCCAAAAGTGTGGGACCAGAGTTCACGATTGATGGACCAGTAACTCATTACTCTGTTGCGATAAATTAAAACTTATGGAATCAGTAACGTACACAAATCAGTTACCATCAGTTTTAACGCGTTACCTTAATCCAATCTATATAATAATATTTTCATATTTTTTTTAATTATCAGTCCCGATCTCATACCGTTGGCCGTTGGTATATACGTGTTACCAAAGAGAATCGACCTTCCGAAGAATTGAATCGGCATCGAATATCCCTAGTACGAAACGCATGCTCGTAATCTATGCTCTCGCTCTCGATCGCCCCCCTCTTTATTTCCTTTTCCTTCTCCCCGTCGTTTGCAACGCGAGTCGTCGTTCCGACGAGCTTATCGTTCGTCGGCAGACGAAATATTTAGACAGTTCTCGCGTTACGTAGCGCAAACTTTTGCCTGGCGAGGGGGGAGGGAATTAGATTTTCAACGGAAACGAGGGGATCGAAGAACGCGCAGAGCGGGGGAGGGTCGGCGCGGATCCAGGTAGACCGGGCGATCACGGATCGATGCGAGGGCTTTGTCGTGTAACCGGGCTCGCTCGGCCCGAAAGAGATTCGAGGATCGATAAAAAGAGGAATTTCATGGCACAATGACCGTCATTCAGCCGGCCGGGGTTTAATGAACGGCCGGCCGTCTGCGGCCGTCTCGCTCTTTCTCTCGGCTCGGGCCCTCGATCCTCGACCGGCGGAGTGTGCGTCGTTGCGTAAACGCAATGTCGGAAAGGAATCGTAATGTGGAAAGGTCAGTGTCTTTCTTTCGTCCGTGACGTCGGAGGCCGACGCACGCGAATATACGCCTCCGAAAATATCTTCGGCCGCGAAAACCATCGAGCGCGCAACCGTCCTCCTTCCGTTTCTCTCTGCTCTGCTCTTCTTTTCCCGCTGCACAACCATCTGTCCCGCGAAGATCGTTACGCGAGAATTTACGACGACACCTTTCCGTCAGTTTTTCAAGATTCTACCGTGTTCGCGTCAACATTCGCCTGCCACGCCGTCACCCGATATGAAAATAAACGTTAACTGCGATTCGTACGCGCCACGCACGGTTCTTTGTCGAATTCCCACTTTGTCTCGGACTCGTCTACTTATTGGACCGTTTACAAGTCACAACAGGCTCTTTTCAGGCTGATCGATGCACGCTGGCAACTCGTACGATCCGATCGGAGTAAAACGGTCGAAGTATACATACTGTCGCCAGTTTACTATCAAACGCTCTATCGATACGGTTACTACTTGCGAGCGAACGATTGAAAAATTATGCAAGTTTGTTTAAATATCGTAAGGAATATCACGCGTGTCGATGTTGAACTTTTCACGGTACGTCTAAATTTGTACGAACGAACAACCACCGATCGTCGTGTAATCTCGTAAACGGCACACGATCGACGTACATATTAATTAACCGCGTTGAAACCTAGAACGTTCAAAGTCGCGGCCACGTGGGGTATTTATTGCCATCGAAGGCGAGATAATATTTACCCGCGGCCGCAGAAACACCGATACATACCGCGTGCTCGCGTGAATCCGATCCCGTCGTGCCAAAGGCGCGCGAGCGAGCGAATGAATCCCATTTCAGCCGGTGTTTCTTTTTCCCGTCGACGAAACGGGAACTGCCGCCATACGATACGTTCTCGCGTAACGCATGTGTGCGCGCGCGTCTTGACTAAGAAAGTTTTCCGTTTCGCGAACTAATCAGGAATTCGCTTGCGATCCTCCCCGCAACGGCGTCGCGTACCTCTCGAGAATCGATGCGAAACGAAAATGGAACAGGGATCCGAACTATTCCGCGAAACGTTCGCAGGCGAATATATTTTCCTTTTATCGTACGGGATCTTTGATGTTCGACTCTTTCTTGGAAATCGTAAATTAAAAGCAGCCGTTGTTTCGAGCATGTCACGCGTCTCGGTCGGCCGTTATTTCTCGGCGTTCCCGCAATCTTTTTCTCCCCCCTTTTTCCTTCGTATTCGCGTTACTTGCAAATCACCGAGGATGAACGAGCACGACAGGCTCGTGGCACTGCAGGCCTCCCGAAACGACGGGCCAATTGCCAATGTCTGACCCTGTAATTAGGTTTGCGCTGCTGGGTAATATCATTACTCGGTAAGCGTGCAATTTCCTCGTGGCCGTTTCTGCCCCTTCCCGACCGGTTCGTTCCAGGTCGCACGTTCGCGATTCCTGGACCACCGGTTTCGAGATAACTAACTTTTGTTGCCGCCTCCCCTCGGGGGTGGGACACCCAAGATATCAGCGTGCCTCGTTTCATTTACCACCTTGGACGCCTACCGTTTTCTCGACGCGTCTAGATTTCTTGCGAGGATTCTGCCAGAACTCGATCCATCGTTCGGAGTAATTTTTCCGTGCCAGATCGCCTTAGGGAGTCCCGCGGTTCTTATACACAGCGAAAAAAAGTATCGATTCGGCGGAAAAACGTATCCCCTACCCATTTCTTACAGTAAACTGGATCAATTGCCGCATTTCGCAACGAAAACATGGAGGTGCGATATCGTCTTCTTAGGGGTTGGAAGGGAAACAGACTCGAACAGATTAGTTCACGCCGACACATCGAAGGGAATTGTCGTTACGTTTCGAAACGTTTTCGGCCTTCGAGACGTCGTTTGTAATTTCCCAAGTGTCACCGAACCTTCTCAAGACTTGTACTACCGATTAATCGAGACCTTCGCGTTATGCAAGATGCTCGAGAACACGAATGGATTCGTCTAATGCGGTTGAAATCGTTTTTCAGTGGCGTCGCCGTATCCTGTGGGGAGTGCAGCAGTAGCGGTACCAGCGACATCACGGAGCCGGGTTCTCCGTGTAGCACGAGCAGCGACGAAGGGGTAGCGATACGTGGCGCGTCCGCCAGTCCACTTCCGTCCCTACCCAAGCTGGCGCCGTCCTCGCAGATCAGTACCAGGCCCCAGTGGCCCTGGACCCCGCCGCTGGCGGCCACCGCCTGCTCGACCTACAAGAGGCTCAAAGGCGAGCCCGAGGCTGGCGCCGTCCCGAGGTCCGGGGCCGCGGACCCAACTTTCAGGGGCACTAGCAAAATCAACAACGGCAAACCGAACGTCGTTCATCATCATCACGAGTCCCAGGGGAAGATCACCGAGTATTTCAAAACTCAAATCAAACCTCAGCAACCCAAGGTAACGTATCCCGTTCGCGCGCTGTCGTAGCGATAGATCGAGACGACCGACTGGCTTCTGGTTACCAACGTTTTCTATTTTATCCCTGCAGGCGAAGAAGAACAGCGAGACGATGTCGGTTTTAGTTGCGAAGAGTTCGTCGGAGTTCAGGAGGCCACCCACGGTGCAGAGGAACAAGGGTGGACTGGCAAAGTACCTGGGTACCGTTTTGCCGAACGGCCGGAATACCACCTCGACCAACGACTGGGAAGTGAGAACCATGACGATGTCCCCACCGCCTACTGAGAAATCACTGCCGGTAATAGTGCCTAGGGTCAATGGTAAGATGGACAAGAAGTTTCCTAAGCCGGTGCCCAGTCTACCCATCTCTAACGACGTGCTAAAAAACATACCGAGCTGCAAGATCTCGTCTCTCAGGTAGGTAGTCGTTCAATGAGGGATGTCGATTAGCGATACTTTAACCGTCTGTTCGTCCAGCTCGTTGCGATATCCGATACTTATCCGCCCATATCTGTTGAATCTTCGTCTCTCCAGGTACGGAACGCCTAAGTTTGGTCTTTCGATTCATAAGTCAATTAGACGTTTTTTAATATTCATGGTAATGGTGATTGTTACTTCTCCTGAGGATTCTGGCAACCGAGAGGGGAGAGTATTGTAACAGTCAACGAGACGCAATCTCTAACGACACTCGCTACTACGATCTAGGTTAACGTCCGAGATCGGCTCGAACGCGAAAAACGTTTCGCCGCCCTTGACGCCGGCTGCTGCCGTGACCACCGAGACGACCACCCTCGACTTCAAGGGCTGCATCCTCTCGAAGCCGCACGTGAACGAGAACAACAACCTGACGAACGGCTGCGGAAACATCTTGGGCTCGTTGAGGTCGCAGAGCATCCAGGATCCGCTGTCGAGGCTGTCGGTACCGGAGGACACCCAGACCAAGGTCACCCAGGCGAGCCCCGCCGACGAAGACGAGGAAGAGGAAGAGGACTCGAGGAGCAGCGAGTCGAAACCACCGTTGTCGCCGATACTCTCTGCCCCGACCACCATACGATTTCCAGCCCGAAAACCGGAGAAAGACCGACAACAAACGACAGACAGCGGAGTCTGTCGGTGGGACAAATGCGAGGAGAGCTTCGAATCCAGCGGATGGCTCCTAGAACACTTACAGGTGCGAGGGAAAAATAAAAATGTTCGCGGATTTCTCGATTTCACGCGTTCACGCGACGTTAGACGGATAGATCGAATCCGACCAGCACAACGCGCGCTTTTATGGCATCGATAGTTTCCTCGGAATAACGAACCTGGGATATCGAGTTTCCTAGCGCTGTGTTACATTGTTGCAAAGCTTCAGGCAGGACATAAAATATCGAGTCCCAATTTTTTTTTTGTCGTTTCTGTCGCGTAATCAATATCGCGACACCTCCGTGGCTACCGTGCGCCTATCGGATACGGCTTCCATCTGATGCCGACCGACCATCCGCCCCCGTTGGTACTTGCGATCGAGTCGCGCTTTAACCCAACGTTTAATAAAAAAAATATTGTTGCAGGCGGCACACATCAACACGCAAACGGGCGGTGACAATTTTGTCTGCCAGTGGCAAGGGTGCAAGGTGCAAGGGAGGAGTTCCTGTTCGCGGAGATGGCTGGAACGGCACGTGTTATCCCACGGCGGCAACAAGCCCTTTCGGTGCATCGTCGACGGCTGCGGCAGCAGATTCAGCTCTCAGGTACCGCGTCGTCTCTCAGTTACCGTGCGGCAGCTGTGCCAAGCAGAAACAGTTGCTTAGTGCGCGTGAATCGTGTACGGTCCCTTTCGAAAACGTCCACGCTGAAGGTTCAGCAAGCTGTCATTTCTTCAACCACTTATGGACCTTCCTTCGTCTACCGATTACAAACTCATGGAGCTGATACGAACTAATCCGTTTCTCTTTCCTTCCATGAAGCACGTCCGAGGAGCACGCATGAGTGTTCCAGATGACGATGTTTCTTTTATTGTTCATTCGATGCTCACACGGTGGTCGGTAATGTATTACGGGATTGAACGAGGGATTACGCAACGATTGTCTTATCAATCTGGTCCTTCACACCGCGAATTACGAGAAAAGCAATTTTCTCCGAAATATTTATTTTTTTATTATTATTTCACGTAATTTCCCATGTCCAAAATTCTCGCAAACGCGACGTATTCCCTGGTTCGCGTCCCGAAAATGTAAGAAGTTCTGTGCCGGTTAAGAACGAAACCGAGCCAATAGGTGGACATTTCATCTTTCGAATATCTTTCTTCGATCTACCAGTCTCCTGACTTGCGACGAAGGTTCTTCGAACAGTGTTTTTTGTCTTAACCGTCGACGTATGGTCGAAGCAATTACTCGTCGGTTGCCTCGATCTTCGGAAGACGGGCATTTTCCAGGGACAGCTGAAAGAACTGTCCGCCCGCAATAATCCTGTCAAGGTGTCTGTTGGGTATTTTGTATTTTTGTTTCTTCAAAACGATCGCTAAATTTTTCCCCGTTACGATCAGAGTCAGTGTCTCTTCGTTTCTTCGAAACGATCACGAAATTTTTCTGTATTACGATCAGAGTTGGAATCTCATCGTTTCTTCGAAACGATCCCTAAATTTTTCCCTATTACAAACAGAGCGAAACTCATCGGTGTTACAGAGATTCAATACCCATATATATGTATTTTAAGGTTTCGGTATATTATACCGGTATTTCCTTTTGAAATTACTGCTACTTAACCGCAATGGTGTGAATCCTTTTTGTACTGGTATTCTGCGTTCAGTATCGGTATTTTCGAACATACTTTACCGGTATTTGACGCCAATGCTGATACGAATACCGAAATATATACCGGTACGGTATTGCTGCGAGGAATATAGTTTCAAAAGTATGAGGTTTTCAGAATTTAGAGAAGAATACTTAAGGGAGAAAATGTTCTTTGCATTCTGAAATTATTCGAATTAGTAAATTCAAGAATCTTTTTCTTATATTTTAAATCAGGAAGTTGAGGGAATGTACTCCAACTATTCTTCGGATCTGTAACAGGAACGAATGATTCTATCATTTTCTTCATTTGTCGCTCTAATTTGTGCATTGAAATTCAACTGTATCGGAGGTTGTATTTTCATTGCGTATAGTAGGTATGATTTTCATTGGTACTTGGAGCACTTGGTGCTTCCTTTCTTGTAATGTGCGTTCGGATATTCAGCAAATGCTGTTGAGCTTTGTTACTTTCTTTCGACGACGAATATTACTTCAACGAATTTCTAAATTAGCTCCGTGTTTACCCTTTATCAATATGCATACAATTACCGATTATACACACAAATGTATGCATCATACTGAAAATATCGATGAATAGGGATTGTGGCCTTCATTCGCATTTTAAGTAACATATTGTTACGAAAATTCACGGTAAATAATTTCGACGTAACTTGTGTAAAGCGCCGAAATTCGTAATTTAAACCGATATCGATATTCATACAATTAAGTACATACTTTACTCGTTAGGCGCCGCGTGTTCTTCGTAGTATTGCTCACAAACTCAGTCGTTCCAAGAATCAAGTTATAGGGTCTTGAGATCTTTCAAAATGTAACATTCTCGTATAACCGCAGTCTATTATTTTTTCGAACTGACTTATGATTCCTTCTTCCTGTGCAATATTTACCGATATTATACAGGTACTATACCGATATACACTTATACCGGTGTAAATGTTATCTGATATTCGTAGTATTCACTTTCCCTTTAGGTAACAGCATAATATCACAATAATACCGGTATTTTAGAGGTATTTGTAATGCCGGTCTGATCTCTGCGGTGTTGTATCACCATCGGTCTATCGTTGGGTACAATTGAATCATATCGATCCGAGAAATTATCCTTCAGACGAACGGGACAGACTTTCCCTGGAAGGTGCCAGAAATCGAGGTGTTGACTATTCGAATTTGATTACAGACCGCTTTGGAAAGGCACGTGAACGGGCACTTCAATCAGCCTGAAACCAGCAACAACAATGCTCGACGGAGCTGCGAGAGCGGTGGAAAGCTTGTCAGAAGAAACGGCAAACGGCTCAGATATAGGCGACAACCTTGGTCCGGTAAGTATTATATCGTGAAGCTTTTATCGATCCCTGGAACTTGCAGAGCAGTTGTTATGTTATGTTATCTGTATATTGTAGCGAGGCTGTTCGACTACATTGACTCGGGAGTGATGGAAGGTCTCCAGCACAGGTTACTGGAACTGGCGAAGTCGAGAACGCAAGGTCGTCTTGCCGAGACACCAGGAAACTCAATGGCCCTAACTAGTCAAGTAAGTGAAATCGATAAAACTGTCATATAATATCCGAGGTGTGTACGTAGGGGCGCATATAGACAGATACTTAAAAATAACCTTTTGCGTTTGCAGGTATTAGCTCGAAGAGTAGAATTGGATGGGAGGACGAAAGTATTGCTTCGGTGGTATCCTGCGGATATGTAAGTACTCTGAATCTGTTCGCACATATGATTTTCTCGTCGATTAAAATTCGTTCTGACGTCGAATTAAAAATTTCTTTCATCAGCGAGCCAGACGAGTGGGTACTCGAGTCCGAAGTTCAGAGCACGAAGAACGTAGAGATCCGCAAAGTTGCGGCCGCAAATCCGGAAGAGGTGAGCCTGGCCCTGTACTCGGCGATAAACGGCGGCACGCCGTCGATGACGCGGGTGAAGCAGCGCCGGAAACCGGTCAAGAACTCGTGATAATGCCAATCGCGATGATCGAGGACAAACGTGACGAAGCAGCGACGACTAAGCCAGAATTAAGGACGAGTCCTGTATCAGGACGATTGTGCTTCCTGGTATGTATAGGGAGGAGCCTGGCAAGGGAACAGGAACCCGAACGTGTCTAGAGGAGAACCAGAGTTGGACGTGTTCCGTGTTGAGAGAAAGAGGGAGAGAAACGGGCGGAGCGAATGGCGCGAGCAATCGGAGAGAGCGGACGAGCCCAAGACGAACAGAATCGATGTTGGAGAAAAAATCAGACACGGACGAGAATAAGAGTCTGTAACGAGCTTCAAAGAGTTCGCATGTTACGGATCGGGTTGGAACGAAATCGATGAAGGAATAAACGACGGCAAGCATCGAAGATGTAGCGAAGAGCATCCGAGACGAAAGGAGGAGTAAATACATTCTAATTTATTTAGCCTAAATCCATCGATCGTTAGGTAAATATATAGTAGTCGTGGGATAGCGATGAAAAGAATATTCTTGTTGCCTATCGATATATACTAAATATCTCCAAACGTTTGGGGTCGATTCCTGCCACGAGTGCCTGGTTCTTCAGTGCCGGCACTCGTCGGACTCGGAAGAGCTGGGCTTGGGCCTCAAAAGTGCCTCACTGTGGATGATACGTTTTATATCGTTGATCGCCGTGCAAGACCAATGATAGACGGCGAAGTTGAATTTAATATGGTATGAAAAAGAAAATACAAAAAAAGTAACAATAACGCAACACTACGACGGAGATTTTACGCGACGAGTACGCGAAGAAACTATAAAAAAAAAGAAAAAAAAATGGGGAGAAGAAAAGCGAACAAACTGTTAAACGTTAGTTTACGATTGTAAGGAGATAATCACTCTGGTGGCCTTAGGAATCAATTAATATCTAGCAACGGCCCCTTGGCGCTTCCGGGCCCTGTTTAAGTACCCCGTGACAGAAGCTAAAAGAATAAGAGGCGAAGAAGGGAGGCGTGAAACGCCAATTTCTTCGACTCATCCTCGACCCTCGACCAACTTACAGAAGGAGATGCATCTACCTCGATCTTCAGCTCGGTAGAAATGTCTGCTGGCCATTGTCGTGCGACAGGGGAAAGATAAGAAGAGGAGGAACAAGGAGAATTAAAGCGAGGGGGCAGACAAGGAAAAAATAACGATAGACGGAGAGTACATCGTTTAAAGACAGGCGTAAGAAGCGTATTTAAGCTCGTCGGATACTGTTTAGCGAAATAATAGCAATAGTCTCGGCAAGAACGTTTAACGGAGAACGACAGTCGGACGACTCGCACGCCAACGAGATTTCTATCGAGGTTTAACCGTTTAACCTTTTTGAGAAAAAGGACGATGTACAAAATGGAGAGTAAAAGCAAAGAAAAATAAGAATTCATTCTCTCGTGATACGCTGATCGGGCCCGCTCCCGAAGCGTGTCCGATGTCTCGCCTTACTTCCATAGTCGCCTATTTTTATCATCATGCCGGGGTTACGTGCAGCATGTTATAATGCAAACCTGTCGCTGCGTAGCGAACCAAAAAATCGAGAAATTCTTTCTATTTCCATTTTACCCCTCTCGTTCTTATCTTTCGAGTCGGCAACGAGATCTCATCACCGAAGCAGGAATCTCCAAATTCAGTTTTTAACCATCGACAGCAATCATCTTTCGTCGTTTCATAAAGTTACCGAAGATTCACTTAGACGGTCTCAGTTCCAAGTATCCGCGTGAACGTTATACTCGCTCGATTGGATACAGAAGAGGGGAACCTTAACGCGTTGGAAAACGAACCGAGACTTTGTATGCCACAACATAGGCGTGACACCGTTTGAGCGCCGTTGAACGAATCACCACTAGTCGGAGATGCCTGCGTTGAAACAACATAGATCCGGAAAACGAAGCTGATTCAGTTTGACCGACGTTAGGCAGCGAGAGCGAATGCATTGTGCTGTACTATTTGTAAACGGGGTGCTGTTACTCTGTACAGGGGGATAAAAACACGATGGCTGTGTTACATTTTCCATGGAGTTCGCTAAAATGGTTAGGGGATGTACATGAAGAGAACGTAACGGAGGAGGAGAAGAAGATGGAGGAAGACTCGCGGCGAGAAGACCGTAATGTGTCGAATCGCTATTTTGATAGATGTATGTAGATAGACCGAGATCGTAGAAATATATTTCTCGTATCGCCGGATACTTCTGACATTGTGGAATGTGATTGCGCACGTGTACACATATATATGTAGTGGATAAAAAAAAAAGAATACTTGTAAATTAAGAGAAGCGAAGTGAAAGGGGTTGAAAATACGTGTCGATGGACGTGTTGTGTAGTTAGAACAGGGATGCACGGGGTTTGAATGTGTACAGACAAGACCGAGATAGGGTTGTAGCGTACACACAGGTAGTCGAGTGTGCGGGAGAGATAACTTGGAACACACACACACGGACGTAGACACACCTACACACACCAGCTAAAAAACACTGCCAATACGATTGTAATTAAGAACTCTAGGCTAATTGATCGATTAATTATTCTTACTATTATTATTACGATTAAACGTGTAATCCGATAGATCTCTAGTTGCCGCGGATGTATAAGAGGCGTCCCGTTCGCTGCAGGCGCGCGAGCGCGCCATTATATCGCCCTTTGTAAGTACAATAAACGCATCGGGACGACCGCTGCGACGCGTCCACGCGCCTGACTGCCTGCGATGGGACGCGATCACGAGCGTGTGTACATAGTTAGTCGAAATTATAGATGGATCGCCCGGCGGTACGAGCCGTGTATCCCGGGGTTCAGCCTATCAGCTTGCGACTTCAAGCGGAATAAAAGATTGTTCTTTTTTAAACCGGATCCCTCGTAATCGAGCAACTCGTGGCTCGCAAAGAAAGACGCAACGCCGCCGCGGTGGTGAATTGCCAAGGACTACGCCGCTGGCTTCGAGAGGAGACCGATCGACGCCGGATAGAAAGAGAACTATGAAACGCGTCACTGCCAAATATCGCGCACTGCCAGCCGTAACGATGTCGCGGTAGCCGCACACCCTACAGCCTTATTTTGTTCGCACGTTCGCGCTTGTATTTGTGTATTTTAATGATTTTCTAGTTGCGTCGATCGTATTCTTCTTGTTCGCGCTCGTGCGCGTCTTCTGTTTCTGCAAACGTTCTTGTGTCGATTTTCTTTATACGAGCGTGTATCGAAACCGCGCCTACTGCCAATCATTGACGTCGACGGACGCGAACCAAGACACTGCCATCGAAACATTACAGAGGACGAATGTGAGAAGACATATGTATATATATGTATGGTTAGATATGCGTATGTATACATATGTACAGCTGTATCGCTATGTATACATCGCATCATCTCCCGTTCAGCCGTAGGATGCAACCGATCGATTTCCATTCTTGCGCGACCGTCCCGTTTTCCTCTTTTTGACGATCGCCGCGACACGATTATTTTTCCTCGTTAACGTCCAACATTTCGTTCTCCAGATTCATTTTCTTTCATTTTTTCCCCTTTTCGTTTTCTGTTTTGGCATGTCCCCTCAGTGCCATACGCGTATCTCGTGCACTGCGAGTTCTTTGTGATTTCTCGTGTTCATCCCCTGCCCGTTCGTGTTCATTGATTCATCTCGTGGCGTGGTTCACGGTTCGATCGCCGTTCCCACTCGATCCACTCTCGTCGCATTAGGTAATCCCTCAGTTTGATCGTCACGGGATGTAGAATCAAACAGTTCTTATCACGGCTGGGACCAATTCTCTCGCGTTTTCCTTTCTCGCAAGGATTCAAAGTTCATTGTAGGAAATTGTCGATCGCTACGGATAGCGGCATACCTGTATTTAGTCGTAAATAAACGTTGATCTATCGATTTAGGTTTAGAAGAATCGCACGGTACGTTATTTAGATAGAAATCATTACGTTCTACTTCCTACGGTTAGAGGTTCAGAGTTCTGATTTACGGGGGGGTTGGAACGGCCGGGGAAACTTTCAAACCACTCAGTAGCGCTTGATCTCGTGGTAATTGACTGTAGCGTAAAATATTTGAGTGAAACGAAAGTTTTAAAGCCCTCCGGAGTTCCGAAGATTTGTCTTAAATTTCTTTTAGAATTTTCGTTTCGTTGCTCGTGGTCGAGCGAGTTGATTTCGATAAGTTGTAATTGTTCCTTTGGTTAGTATGTAATCAGAAAGTATTCTATATAGAAAAAAAGAATAAAATAACAAATGACCTATTATATTTTCATTGATATTCGATTCGCGACGAATTAGTCGCAAAATTTAAAGACTCGAAAGACATCGCGCGCGAACTTGATCGGTCGAATGAAAATTACGCGTTTAACGAGGAAAATTCTCCTTCGCGAAGTGGAAAGAGGCAAAACACCGAGGTAGAAAACGGGAAAGACAAAACCGTCAGCGTATCGCCGTATTTACGTTCGATCTAAAAACAATAATTGTACGCTTGTGTTTTCCTATTCCCTTTCCGTTCTATTTCTAAGTGGACTGCACGTAGTTATTCCCGTTTCGGTACTTTCGTTCTGATACCTTTCCTTTTTTTATATCGAGGGTTTTTATTTTTACTCGCGATAGCATTGTTTCGACATTTACTCGCGCGATTCAATAGCGATAAATGTATATTTTAGCGAGGCGTTGTAAAGTTCGGCGTGTAAGGTAAATTTAGATGTTCAACGGCGTTGGTGGAACGAGATGGATCCGAAAAAAGGGTAGCACGACGACCGGTGAAGCCTGAACGAGTTCCTTTTGGTTTCCAAAGGGATTTTGCGAAGGGTTGAGGCGTTCCAGTCGAGCGCAACTGTTTCTTCGGTTCTCGATGTAGCATTTGTACATGTGTAAAACGTGTGAACGATGGAAAGAGAGATACTGTGCGGGAAGATGGGAGAGAGAAAGATATACCACGTGGTAAAAAATGATAAAATATTAAAGTACATTGTAAATAAGAAATACGGAGGATCGCGAATGCGAATAGCGCTCTTCGGGGCTGAAAGGAACTACAGAACAAAGAAACGACGGGCGAGAAAGCGTGAGAGAAAGATAAAGAAAGAGAAGGGAGAGAGTAAGATGCCGGTAGACATCGTATTTTTGCAAACTAGAAACAAAAAAACGTGGGGGGGGGGGAAATGAAAACGAAGAAACTTTGTCGTTGGAATTCTCTCTCTCTGTGTCGGGTCGAGTTTTTCATTTAACTCTGTTTTAAAGCAGGAGGAAATCATCCCCTTCTCTTTCGAAGAAGAATCATCGCGTATCGCCAGCGTACTCGCGAGAAGCGTTGCGACGCTAAACGATTACTTTCACGACGGGAAAAAATCTGTTTTCGACGTAAAATCGGAAACGATGTTAACAATCATTCTGTTTCTTTTTTCACAAAATCCGGAAGGCAGACGGTTGCTCGGAAACAAGCTTACGTGTTCTAATTATGTGTTTCCTAATCGATTGACTCTTGAGTGCGCGCTTTCACGCCGACTAGAAACCGATAGTTACCTTTTTCGAACGATTTTTCGCGATTATCTAGAATCTAGAATTTCTACTAGGATTCCTATGTTATCAGCTTACGTACAGGGGACAACACCGAATAGAAAAGCTATAAATACCCGTAGTTTACAACGCTAACTACTGAGATCTACGAATAGAACGTACTTAAGGGTTAAATCGAGCAGGGAAAAGGCGCTTGAAACGCTCGACGTGTGCCAGCGGTTCGGAATTAAATCGGGAAGCGCTCGATCCACAGACCAATTGATCGATTCACCGACCATTTGTATCGCTCTTTCGTTAGAATTTTCATCTCGAAGTAAATCTATCCAAATAAAGGATCTCTGTAAACTCTCCAAGATTTAATTCCGACTCGCGCGCACATTCAAGCCCGACGCGATAATTACGGAACCCACCTCAAGGATGAAAAAGACGCGAAAAGTTGGAAGCACGGTTTGCCCAAAGAGCGAATTACTATAGGCCGATCACGACTGGTCAAGAGAATTTCTTGTAATACGGCTTTCTAGTTTTCACGGCTCTCTCGGGCGACGCTCGACGACGCTGCAAAAACGGAGCGCACGCGTCCTTTATAACGCAGCGAGACATGGCTTGTAAATGTACAAAGAGAATAAACGAAAATAAACGTAGTGGACTTGGAAGATTGCGTTGACTTTTCGATGGGTCTCGTGATAGACGGGACGAAAAATTTATTTTTCGAGGTGTCCCTTATCGTTTACCGGTGTAAATATCAAACGTGCGACGTCTCGATTTTTATAACGCATAGCTTATCGTGAATATAGTGTTTGCATTTATTATAAATTCTATGTAAAAGCACGAAGAGGGCAATGATCGTGACGAGTAAGTACTGTCGACGAGAAAATTCTTCCCTACCGATTTTTACAGCTGATGAGAACGAAGACCTAGCACACCTCTAACCTAGCTCCACTTTCCACATCGACAATTTGCAAATAATCGTGTTATCCTCTTTTAATCGTTTACTGTATACCGTAAAGATCATAATCGGTTCCTTGCAGTAACCTCCGCCCGTTATACCATTCGCGTTTTCTCTAATTTGTCGGGTGGTAACCCGATTTTGAATGTTCGTCACGAACGCTGCGGTGTCGCTTCGGTTTAGAGAAAGGAGGGCTGCTTGGCCTCTTGCATAAATGAAGTAGACGAACAGATCGTATAGTTTCAAATAATAGGAGTTCTAGGCTGTATATATACCTATCTCGCGTACGACCGCCTCGTCCGTCGTGTGACGCAGAGGATAAATGGAAAAAAAAAGTAAAAATACTAGATGAACGTTTGTGTCAGTGTGTCCTCTTGATCGACGGGGAGTCGGAGAACGAACAATCGTAAAGCAGTACTCTTTCACCAGTGAAAACTGGAAAGCCCGCTGTCGTTTTTACTCGAGCATTCGTTGCGCGACGTAACCCACTATCGCGCGGACACCTGATTATTTTTTAGCGACCTATTTTTCGCGCGATCCGAACGAAGTGGCAACGTGGAAATCGCGATGACACACAGCCGTGGACGTTTTATCCGTTGGACATCACGGCGACGACGAGGTGTCAGCGAGGCGAGAAAAGGAACGATAATTCTGATTACGGAGGGACTATCCGGGGATCGGTTGCCACTCCGTTGCGTAGATTGCGTCTCCTCCGGCGTGTGCCGTGACCTAACATTACGCGGGACACGGGGAAACGAAACGTGGGGAACGGAGAGAAGAAAGATTATACACTACTTCGCACTGCCAAACGGAGAAGGAAATGGAAGTTTAACGTCTCGCGTTCGTTCGTCGCGTGGGTCGATTGTGTCGTGCGATCGTCGGAAGGACCGCGGTGTTCACTGATCCACATGTAACGGGGAACCCAAGGTGAATTAAGTCAAAACGAGAGGGAACGAGAATGCATAATACAAAAAAAGAGACACGGTAATATCTAGGGGAAGCACACGCGAAGATTTTCATTTTTTAAATTCCGTATTAAGCGCGAACGGAGTAGTGGAGACAAACGTTGTACAGTGCTTTTGAATTTTTCGATACTTTCATGTACAAAACACGAATGAGACGAAGAAACAAACGTTGTACAGTGCTTTTGAATTTTTCGATACTTTCATGTACAAAACACGAATGAGACGATTTATAGCTGAATGAGAATATTAAAGAGACAGATATTGTAAGAGAGTAATAATAATAATTTCACGGTTACGATATCGCCCCACGGTGTGTCCGTTTTAATATCCACCCATCCCTTGACCGTATCTCGTCGCTCCATTAAATACGAGGACCCAGGCGGGCATCATGGTTCGAGATGTAACATCCATTTGCTAGAAAGCTTCCCTGGCAAACGGACGTTAACAATTCATAGCCCGCGGTTTATCCGGTGCGTCCACTAGACGCCTGTATACATGCATATACACCAACTGGTATAGCTGTTGGCTCGTTTCAGCACGACAAACAACCGTCGAGAGAGACCCGACGCGGACGGTATGAATAGTTCACGGATGAAGATTCGAGCGCGAAGCATCAAACAAGCAAAAGTATATTTTCCGACCGGCGAATATTGCCACAAATATTGATGTATACGTACGCGCTTTATGGAAACGCGCGGCTCGCTTCCGTTTCCGGCACGAACCACCCCGCTGACGGGGAATACGATACCCCCGCGGGGCAGTAAAGCTACAGGAAACCCGATCCTTGTTTCAGGACCGGCTCTCCTCTGTGGACAACCTGTTGGCCACGCTGAAACGACGTCGGGCCCGTACGCTCGACGAGAAACTCAATAAGCCGGCTCGCGTGCCTTTTTACGGATGAGCAAAATTCGTATCGATCATGCGAGAGGGTAAAAATGATGATATAATTAGCCGGTGACGGTGTACGGTTACCGGACTCTATGCCCGACTCATTTTTTCCCCCCTTCTTTCCATTCTCCCAATTGGCTCGCGAACTCGTTAATTACAGCTCGGTGATCTCCGGGCGACGATGAGGCGACCGGACAATCGAACCGGGTCATTGTCGTATCGCGTCGGGATCACGATTGCGATCCATATTTTTTTCATGGGAAGGACCAACGAATATTAAAAAAAAAAGGAACCATTCCACGTCTCTACATATTCCCCCTCCTTCGATCTTTCGTTTCCTTACTCGACGAAGCTGCTGGTCGTTAAGGATCGACGAGGAAGAATGTCGTTCCCGATGAGGTAATCTAATATTAATTAAGAATCCACGGTGCCAGTAAATTCGCGTTTCGTTTTTCCGCGGGTCTTCGCCGTTTCTGTATGTACAGTTATCTTCCCATTATTCTCCGGCGAATGAATTCCCGTAAGGAGAAAGCCCGCGGCGCAGAAAAAAGCTACTGCTGCGCGAGACCGCTCGTACCGCGTATGCATCGGTCCCCAAACGAAACAGAGGATCGCGACGAGGCCGAAGGTGGCGAAACAAAAAAAGAAGTAAGCCAGCCGGGAAAAACGACGGGACGGTAATCGGAAGACGCGACCGATTGTTGATTTACTCGGTCGACTTGGAAATACTGTTTACCAGCTGCCCGAAGAAAGAACGGGAAGAAGACCTGGAATGGTAATGGTAATGGTACCGGTGCAGAACGTCGGGAACGCGGATTATACGAGCGTTCGTCCGTTTCTTGCTTTCTTCCCCCCTTCTCCTCCCCCTCCTCCTTCTACCACTGCTACCCCTTCGACGTCGTCTTCTACGTCGTCGAGTTCTTCGAGTTCGTGTACAGTTAAGGAGACGACACCAGGATGAAATTGAACCGGCCTATTGTCGCACGGTCATTGACATTTTGTTTCTCGCATGATCGGCACCGTCGCGATTCTTGAATTTTAAATTCGACGACGATTCGTTTCTAGACTGACTTAGACGTTCTATCCTGCTATTCAAATCTTAATACATATCTCAGATTCAAAAACTCGCGATGCAGAATGACAGTTATAATAAACGTTTTTAATTACATCGTAATAATTAGGTGCCCAGGTTTAATAACAGCAGACAACCTGTCGCTGAACCTTTCTTTTCATACAACCACCATCACATTGTCTTCTTTTCGCTTTGTACTTTCTTCCATTGTGGTACTTCTACGTTGGAGTGGTGGCAATAGAGTCGTATGACAATTATTATAATAAATTCTGTATACTGGGTGGTACAAAGACATAGCTTACCTGAGCTAATTCTTTTGCTACGTTGATACTATGCATAAGTTCTTTACAAGTGGTCAACATTTATAAAAGGTGTACATTTACGTCCATATAGTGTATTAAATTTTCTTCACTTATTTTTCACGTTGCATATAAAATATTACTATCAATGGAAAATTAACTTCGAGCATGCTGTAGTAAAAGGGTTCACTACTGCTGGAAAAATTAGTCTACCTATTGTACGGGGTAATAGCGATGATGGCATTTCTGCGTTGTATGTACATGTACACTACGTCCCATCGTCATTCCTTAACTCTGTGTAGCGTTTCCCTCCTCACACACAAAGATTCAGATATGATCTTACATTTAATTGAGCACCTTTTTATGAACACCAGTACGTGCTGCAGTAAGTAGGGATACCCCTGTTTAGTTACAAAGGGAGGCTCCGAACTGTTTTATTTGAGAAAATGAACTAGGCCATTAAGTACTAATGATCACGTATTTTTCTCATTAGTGAGAGGTAAGAATTAATAAAGATGTTCGCGTTCCCACGTCTCGCGATTTTCCCAAGCTTTGACCATATTTTTGATGGTATATAAACATCTACGGCTACAGATTCCGAAATTCACAATTATTACTATTACTTGAGTTACTGGTAACTGACTATAAACAATGAGTAGACATTTTGATTTGAGTAGTACGTACCCGCCATATTGGCGGTTTGTGGCACTGTAAAACCTCGTTCGTCTGCGCAGTGCCTAATCTAGTGTTCGATTATCTTACAAGAATGTCATCTGACTGCATTAAAAATATGTTTTACATCGCACGAAATGAAATATGAAGGTTGGTCTAAATTATATCAAGAACAAATGTCACACGAGGAAAATAAGAACTACTACAGTGTAATATACAGTACATTTTTGTGTATCAGATTACCGTCCGATCATCCAAACACCGCGTTCCCTAACCAATTCGTACAACGGGAGTTCCACAGTACGAATATGACATCCCACAATGACGCAATACGCAAATCTCCCACGACAGTAACACTATGCAATTCCATGCATATAAAAAGAGTCGCGTGTTAGAAATTACGGCTCATTAAATGACTTCTGCGAGCGGTTATCAATTAATGCGACCGGAGCGTCCCTCGTTCGACGTATGTATCTGTCAATCATCGAATCTACGCGCCACGAAACACGATCGACATTCCGGCGCAAAAAGTCGCGACAGTTGCAATTTGAACGAATATAACGGAACTTACCGCTATGGTCGCGATCCCATAAGGGTCCAGTTTTCTTTCGACCTTCGGGATGCCGTTGGAACCCGCGAAACGATCAAAACCGCACAAATTTTGTCGCGGGCAGGCAATTCGTGCACCGTGGGGGACGAAGCGCGATACAGGAGTAGCGAATTTCGTGTCGGTCGCGTTTCGTTCGGCTTCCACCGGCGGCGCTTCGATCGCTCGACTCGAGACTCCGGGTAGTCGCGAGCGCGAGTTCAGGCCGGTAAGACGTGTCCGCCGTGGTTGTCTCGTTTCGTGGTACATACACGTCAAATGCGCGCTTCGGCGCGAAAACGGGAGGGTGTCGATTGTCGTCGCTCGTGCTAAGTGATTTTCTTTTACACGGGAGTGTCAGTGTACTGTATACCCGACGTAAACACACAGTGTCATCGAACTTGGTCGATCGTGTGGAGACTGTTGGAGTTGGGGGAGGCTGAAGTTTACTCACAACCCGGGACGAATTTACTGCAAACGTCATCTTATTCGCCGGTGGTGAGTACTTTTCACTTTGCCTATCTAACCGTTCGTCTAACGGCGACTCTCGAACAAGATAATTGATGCGAACTCATTTGATCGACAGTTACGTTAGTTTTTTAACCTTTAAATTACGAACAACGTGGAACCCGTGTACTCTGATTCTGTATTCTACGTTCTGCGTTCTTTCAAAACCATTTCATTATATTTAGAATAGTGAGTTGCAAACAGCAAACAAAAAATAAGATACAAAGAGAAGTGAAAATAAAATAACAAAGAAGAAATCGAAATTAAATTGTGGTAGCGATGAAAGTGATAGTAACAGATGAGACCGGTGAGGAAAGTAAACGTAAAGGGCGAGGTTCAGTATGTAGTTATAACTGTCGGTATTAAACCTAACCCAAAATTATTGTGTTTCGTCGCTCTTCGATATAGTCGATATAGTAGATACGTATGTAATTAGCGGTTGACGTTCCCAACCCAGTACAGTTATTTCATTAAACATTCTAACTAGTGTAATTTTTCATTGAATTTGCTTAGTACACACTTTACAAATAATATTTGATCGGCTTAATGGCACCAAAATTGTCCGTGGCTAGAGGATTAACAATGTCACCTAATAGAGCTCACATTACGGGGTTTTCTAAATGTTTTTAAGCGATCGTAGAGTAGACGACAGACTTAATTTTGGTGCGTCTGTTTTGCTCCCGAGACACATTTTTTGTCGGCATACCGCTCTCGACTTTTTTTCACTAGTCATTCGTAAATATGTATTTCTTCTCTACGCTGGGCGTGAAGTTCGAGAGTGGCCGTCAATCGATTTGGAGCGCACCGACTGTTCGCGATTAGCACGACTGAGGTCAAACAGATCTGGCTCGTATTGTTCTATGTTTTTCCTGAAACAATATTCAAGGTTTTTTGTACAATCGCCATTGCTGCCTGGTAGATCGAAGCGCCCGCTCCACAGCTGTCTTAAAATGTACACGGAGCAGGCATAATTAAAAGGCGATGTTCTGGTGGGCGACGATCGATATATTACGATTCACTTTCGATTATCGAACGGTCTTTTTAAAAGGGGACCATCGATCGGAGCGGTTGATCGGCCCGTGTATTTGGAAATCAATTTCGTTCGAATATAATATAACCGGTTTTCCTGCAAATTATATTTAACTTGAATACATTTAAATTAAAATATTTGAATTCAAATAAGATTTCGGAGAATCGATGAATCGATAATTGACTTTTATCGTTTGGATTGCGTGGCGATGCAAGTACATATAGAAGCCTGAGAATGTACCGTAGGCGTTCAATACATTGAATTAAAGTTTAAATATGTTATCAGCGTGTGAAATATTTGCGTGGGTCCGTTGATTGATTATTTCGTTATTTCAATACTCGGAACGCGTAATTATTCTTTTTGCTGGCGATATGCCACAAATCAATGTTCCTGAAGCAAAATAACTTGTTGGTTAACGTAATATCTCAAGAGTAATATCTCATTTGGAGCCTGTTTAATAAAATCCACTTTGCCGCCGAGACTCATTCAAAGTCGAGTAGATTTCGTTGAAAAGATTCTCTGGCGCTATTTCGTCTACGACAATTGCGTCTCCGAGAATACTCTTTTTCGGCCAAGGGTATGTACCTCGTTCGTAAACAAATGGTTTTTGCGGTGGTGTGGAGGGCACGCGAGCGTGTTGCTCGAACATAGCGTGTTTTTCTCGGTACCCAATGACGAAAATATGCGGTCACCGAGTTGCGTTCCGACTAATGGGTCTGTAGTTTAATTTATGCACAGGGCAGACACATTCGTTCTCGCTAGCTCTAGTTTAATAATAATAACGACATTATTGCGTCGCATACAGCGATGAATTGAATATATTTAGCAATAAACGTTGTTTCCGAACTTAAGCCTGACGAGATTAAAACAATCGGAAAACGTATTTATTCGACCAGTGATACGCAAATTACGGTGACCGAGCGAAATTGTGTTTGCTTCGAAGATCGTAGGTCCTGAAATTGCATTTGCTGGGAAAATTCTGAAGTCCTTGATATTTTTTCTGCCACCGTAGCATGCGTTCACATTTTTCACCGCACGTTTTCCCCGGACGTGTCGGACAACAGGTTTTCGCGCACGTAAGTGTTTACCTTGCTTACGTAACGCGTCGAAGGCTGTGATCCCGGTGTGCTCGAACCGGGAGCTGTTCGTCTTTTCGTGGTTTTGCGAACCCATTCGTTTCTCGAGCAGCAAACTTTTCCATAATTATTATGCTCGAAGTGGAAAAACAGAAGAATTCTATAAAATTCATCGTACGAGACACGCTCATTTGAATGGCTAATATACTTCGGTTATCTCTTACTCGAAGCCAAGGGCGAATGTGTTTCCTCTTTCCTCGTTTAAAATTCCTACGACCATACGTCTCGCGTTTATTGCACGGCAAACACGGTTCGGCGGAAATGGAAATGGAAAAGGAAAAGAAAGTGTTCAAGCATGGCCCGAGAAGGGAGCTTAATCGAGAAGAATGAAATCGCATTCTCGTTCGAAAGGAATTTCGCCCGGCGACTCGAGGACCGTTTCACACCTACGCCGCATGCACTCGGTGCAATAGGAGGTATACAACATGGCTCGGTTCGTAAAGCGGGTTCGCGACGGCGACGCGCAGCAACGACGCGGTGGTTCGTCGACTCCGGCTCGGTAAATTCGAGTCATGCGCGCACGGTCTCGTGTCGTGTCTATTTAGAATTTCAGCGAGATCCACAGAGTTGAATTCCGGCACGAGCGGTCGTATTTCACGGTGGAAAGAGACGTGTACGGGCATCGAGAGGGTTTCCGCGAGAGCGGCGCGATCTCGTTAGTATCTCGATGAAATATACAGGTGCAAAGTAACGCTACGCGTGTTTTCGCCTTCTCCGCGGCACGGAGATAAGAAGAAGACGGTCTTTTGCCGGCCAGGACTGTTTATGTTACCACGATGGAGGTCGCGTTCACCGAGAGGCGGACGGGAACAGAAAACTTGTCGCTGGAAGATGACGAAAGAGAAGTGTCCCCCGTTCGAGCCAGCCTTCTCGCGTTCCCATCGCGCAACGTCGTTTTTCCCGCGTTTTTTTCTCCCGATCTCTGTTCACGGCGGACCAACACGACCGATCGAAAGCGTTTCCTCTCGAGTTCGCGTGCGCCGTAGGTCGGGAGCGTGGCCCTGGGAATTTTTTCGATCGCCGCGAGCCACGCGATGACGTTGCAGAAATTATTAAACGCCCCGCGACACTCGCCGCTTTCCTTGTCCCGCGCGTTTTACCGCGGCTAGTAAACGCGTATACCTGCGCGAAAGAAGCGAAATATTAGCGACGCGGCCACATAAGCTTGCCGATTCAATTGGCTCCCGTTGACGTCCTGGCGTAACGAGTCAGCCTTTCAAGCATTTCGCGCGCCGCACCACCGTTCGTAACGCGCCACGCCGGTAATCCGTGATGCAACCGAGCGCGCGCTCTCTCGGCGATGACGACCGGCACCGGAGAGTATGGCAGAAAATTGCCGAGGATGAGTCGCGCGATTGAAAATTCATACTCCTCGTCTCCCCTACACCTATTCCCATCGAGTCCTCGTACTTCGGCTAATTGGCACGTTCGAACACGAAAAACAAGAACACGATTGCGTCGAGCACGTCTGTGCTGGGCGTCCCACGAGGGCGATTCACGCAATCGCGCGAATTACTTTTTCCCCGTCCAAGGACGCGCGCACTCGCTTCTCCCTACAATTGTCGCGTGCTGTGCTCCACGCAAATAGAACAATGGGACGCAATTTAGATAAACGTCTTGTCTCGTCGGTTCGTATCAGCGGTGCGATCATTTCCAATTCCCCCCGCCCCTTGTCTCGCGGCGATAACCTTTTTCGCAAGCTTTCGACCGAACAATTTCGCAAATTACCCCGAAGGTGTACGGACGACCGCGATTTCCCCTTTCGACGACAACGACGACGACGAAGCTTATCGTTATCGTTGACCGACCGTGTCTCTCCGCCGATACGCGGCGAGGAGGCGCGCGCGTTGTATGTCATAATCCAGATGCATGGCAAGATAAAGCGACGACACGGCGCTTGGTATTTGTACGAACGGAACGACACGCCGCTGAGTGTACGCTAGGATGATTTATCGCGCCGCGCCTCAAGGATGCTTCGGGCGAGCCGCGTTATCTCCGACAATTATGCCCATTGATAACGCTCCGACTAACGCGATAGAGGCGATGTTACTTCTGTTTCTCCGAGTCCTTGCAGCTCCAACCCACGGAGTCGATCGACGGTCACGTGCAACGCTCTGCGGGCATGGAAAGACAAAGCATAACTATTCAATTATTCGGTTTAAATAATAATCGTCGTTTAAATAGCGCATGATAACAGTCGGGAAGTAACGATCGGAATAATTACTGCGACGAAATGAATCTTCGTTAAAGCAGTGCATAGAAGCGTACGACCTCGTTACGATATGCAAAGAAACAACGAAATCTCAATGCTTTGGCTTATTTCTTCGAAATCACAATGATATCCCGTCGCTCTCTTGAACACCTAATCAGTTCGCGTAAAATGTTTCGCGAGAATGTAAAGCATTCGCGACGAATTATGGTGTCTGACGCGCGTCCCTGTAAATACACCGTTTTCCAATTGCGGTGTTCCTGGATCTAGCCGATCGGTCGAAGGCTGAATCGACTCGTTTCCCTGGCGGATGTCAATTGCGTCGAAACAGGTGTTCCTTCGTAGCAACGGAGCGAGAACGAGATAGAGGAAAGAAGAAAAAAGGTAGCGAACGTTGGCCTAACAAGAACGAAACCGCTTCAATACGCGCCTGAGGCGATCGAAACGACACCGGGCGCGTCATCGTCCGCTCTTGGTACCACGACTTATCATCGCATCGGACGAATAGCTAAAAATAAGCGCGTTCGCTTTTCTTCCGGCGTCGATTATCGAGCGTTCCTCCGTCGTTTCTCGAGCGTGTTTTCTTTCGATCCGCGAAACAGCCGCGTGCCCCCCG